TCTAATTGTTAAATGTAGTTGTGCTTAGAGATACAGATTTATTACCTATTTTCTTTTGGTCTGATATAAAAGCATCTCCCAGCTTGAGGAAAGTTACTGTTCCTCTCTGTGTATTATGGCTGAGAGATTAAGTCTCTTGTATTAGCAATAATTCACTTAAGTCATAATTGACCTACAGTTCATCAGTCTCCTCATCTCATGTGCTGGCCTGATCTACTGGGTTATATTATCCACATAGGTTCAGGAGGAGCCTTGTATCAGCTCCTTCTCCATTGCTGCCCCACATCAAGGTCTCAGTCATCACCTAGATAAGCTGCTGATACTCATTTCTTACATACAAGACAGTCATGAGAACCCGAACATATTTTACTAAGTATATTGACTGTCACAAATTTAAGTAAGTAGAATTCAAAAAATCATGTTATGTTTTATATCAGAAACACTATTTTTGCAAAAAAGCAGAGATTTGTCCACCAGTTTGTTTTCCTTTAAATTATCAAAGGATAGGGTTTTCTGCAATTACTGAGTGATGGATATGCTCTTCCTTTAATTCAGAGCCTATTTTAATATGTAGGGGCATGTGCAGAAATCCTTTAAAATCTATGACAGGCTTGCAAGTAGAAGAGCTGTATGTGTTCTAAGCAAAAATTTGATATAGGAACACTTTATTTCATAGTAAGGGGGAAATGGCTTGATCTCACTATTTATCTAAATCCCTTCACATTACCAAAAATATATCACACATTTTGAATTCATAGAGAAAAATATGTTGGTATAGAATTTTCTGCTTGAAAAATAGAAATCACAAGTATACAGTGCCATTCATATCATAGCAAGGGCACATGGCATCAACCTGACGTTACTGTGACATTAACCTTGGCCTGTTGAGGTAGTATTTGTCAGACTCCTCCCTCAAACCCATAACTTAGTTTAATCATGAGAAAAACACCAATCTAACACACATTGAGGGGCATTCTAAAAAATTCCAGACGAGCACTTAAAAAATTGTCGAGATTATAAAAAAATTGATTAACTGTCAGAACCTACAGTTGCCTGATGAACCCTGATGAGTAAATGTAACGTGTTGTCTTAGATGGAATCCAGAAATAAAAAAGGAACATTAGGTAGCAACTAAGGAAATCTGAACAAAGCAGGAACTTTAGCTAATAATAGCATATCAATCTTGGTCTGTTAGTTGCAACTAGTGTATCATACTAAAATAAGATATTAACAGTAGAGAAAATTGGTTATGGAGTGCATGGGAACTCCCTTCAAACTTTCTGTAAATCTGAAACTATTCTAAGATAAAAAAAGTTATTTGAAACGCCCCAAGAACTAAAAAAAGTAAAAATAATTCACTCTGAAACTTCAAAGAAAAGGTGTGTAAGATCTCATTCTTAGTATTCTTTGGGCTTTGTACAAGTGAATTACAGAAAGAAAATCTTAAACATGTACAGATTTTATAACACTGAAGTCTTATTTGAAATGTTTAGTCCTAGGCACACAATGTATATCTCAGCTGGTCACTATTACTTATATACAGAAATTACATGTGAGAAGAAGACTTTAGAGGCTTTCTGCAACTAAGACCTGAGTAACTTAATAGGATACTCAGAATCCAAGTGAAATAACTCCCTGGGCCTCTCCTTTTTATAGGACTATGTAACAAGACTTACTTGTAAGGAGAAGGAAGGACAGCAGCTGAGGAATCATGTTCTCAGGGACAGCTGATATGCTCTGTGCCCAGACCTTCCAAGTGTTCCTTATGCTTAACTGTACCATTCTCTGTCTAAGTTTTTTAGATGCTTACCAAAGTGCAGGGCAATGTCAGAGAAGGGATAAATCCATTACTAAAGATGGCTCATTGCATTCTACCTTCTAATTCTCTTGTGTGAGTGTGTATTTTTTTAACCACCTGGTCAAGATCTGCCACATATTAATCTGTTTCTTCATAGCATAGATTTTCAGGTTCTTTTTGGCTAAGATAAAACGTTTGTTTTGTTTGGAGATGTTGGGCCTGGGAAATGAGAGCCACCAGTATTTCCCCTTCATTTTCCTGGTCCTAACATGCTTAACCACAGACCAGGCAAACACAAGGATTGATTTATTCCACACATACTGACTACCTGGATGCTAGGCCCTGTTGTAATGGGCATTTTTAGGATTACTAGGTGAACAAGATGTATCTGGTTCATATTCTCTTAGAGCAGTGTTGGAAATCAGGTGCTGTACAAGACAATAATCAACTAAGAGAAATGATTGCAAATTGTTATAAGTAATACAAAATAAACAAGTGTCATGAAAATAATTATGCTTTATATGAACATCTCTGTAGAGCTACCATTTCAGCTTCATCTGTACTGAGAACCTTTCCCAGTACATAGTTTGTACTATGTGATTTCCTGAGAAGCTTACTTAGAACAGAAGTAATGATATTACACACTTTGCAATTGTGTAGAACTTAACTGTTTACGAAAGGAGTTGAAAGTATAAAATGTATATGCCCTTTAATTCAGAAATTCCAATTCTCCATAATTAGTAGTAATTCTCCACCCTGGTTGCATGTGAAAATTACTGGGGAGATTTCATTAAATACCCATGCCTGGGCTCCACTCCCAGAGATTCTGATTTAACTGTCTAGTGGAGGAAGGGTGTGGGGAGCATGGGAAGCAGTATTTTTAAAGGTTTCCCAGATGATTCTAATGTGAAACCAGACTTGAGAAACACTAACCACAGAGAAACTCTCATACCTGTGAACCAGGGGTCTGTACAAGGATGTTACTACAGCATTGTTTCCGAGAGGAAAAAAGATCACCACATAAATGCCCATCAGTAAAAGGTGGCTAAAGTGACATGGTGTATGTGTTTTTCTTTGTAATTCTATGGGATAATGAGACAGGTCAATATATACTGATATGGGAAGATATTTAAGACATGAAAATAACAAGATGTGAAATTCATGCATAGTATGAAACCATCTATAAATACACTCACAAAAATCTACTAAAGTATCTGTCACATAGGAATACATGGATGGGTTGGTTACCATTCAGCAAGGAGTTATGGGAACTTCAGAAAGACACAAACCTAGTGTGGATGGAAGCACAGTAGAGAAAAATTAGGAAGACTACCTTCCGTTATCCCTTAGAACAACAAAGCATGATAACATGAGTTTGTTATGACACAAATTGAAAGATGATGTCACTGGGCATCCCGAAGTGTCCATGGCTATGTGTGTAGCAGTGGAAAGTGATAGTGGTAAGAGGCTTGGGATATGGAAAGAGGAGCTTTGGGACTCACTTGCACTATCTCACTCACTGCCGTGTTCTTCCTTTGATGGCACTGTCCCTTCCTCTCCACTCTTTTCCAGTTGTGCCCTATCTGTGAACCTCTGAGATATATGCCCTGAACACGCACACACACACACACGCACGCACGCGTGCACGCACACACACACACACACACACACCCCTTCATTCAGGAACGAAGTATAGCCTCAGGGAATTAGATTATGTTAAGAGCTTCTTGCTGTTTATCAAAGAGATGAGTTTTGAATGCTTATAATTCTGATGTGAAAAATACTAATATGTATGGATTCATAGCTTTCCCCTTTCACCATTTGTCCTCTGAAGAAATTTTTTCTGAGCAGTTCCTGTGAGGAAAGCTATTAAAACAATGAACCACTTTCCTCAGGGGCTACGTAGGAAGGAAGGTG